CACGTGCTCTCCGTTGTTTTTTCCCTGCCAGATGGCTTCTGTATCACGTGGTATAAGGCTCTGCCCTTGTCGTTTGTTGAGCAGGAAGCGTGAGCGCTTGTTTTCATGCAGATTACGTCCCGGATCAAAATGCGGTACAATCGTCATCTTTTCTTTCTTTTTTTTAAATCGTTGTCATTTGGAAATGAGATCGCACATAAGTATGAATCGAGATCGCGATTTTCTAACGATTAATCGTGCAGCCCTAGTGTTTATCTAGCATTCATGACTAAGATGGGGAGTATGGTATAGCTTCCAGACAACAATTGGTGCACTATGTTAAGTCTCTTAACTTTAAACTGACCTTACAGAGCAAAAAGAAAGTGGAATATAAAACAGTTCATGCTACACCTTTGTTTCAGATCTGTGGCCTCGTGTAAAATTCAGATGTTCTGCCAAACCTACGCAGATTTATGTCCATTTTCATTGCTAAGGTTAAAACATCTAAGAGGCGGGCATCCTAAATACCTGGACAAATAAAACAATCTATGACTACAGGTAAGTTTTATGTATTTAGTTTAAGAACATATCTATACCTTAAAAGTTAAAATAACAGAAACACAAGGGAAGTTTGAGTATTCTTCTTTTCCCTTTTACTTTGAAGGTTAGCCTTGCTTTCCCCACATGTGATGATATGTGAGATGTATAAAAACAAGCCACCCCCTCCCCCCGTCTACTTCTACTCTGCTCCCACAAGGACATTGAAATATTCATGAGAGATCTGCCTGCTAATCCAGAAGGTGGGGGGGAAAAGTCCACCTGCCGAACTCATAAGGTTTCATCCCGATTCTGATTCTAAGCTTTCATTTCAAACAGCTTTGTTTTGTCGCTAACGTGTGATTTTTCATGTTTCTTTAGTCTGGCAGCAAACAAAAACAGGCCCAGACAAATATTCATTGTCTGGGATGCTCACGTGTTTGTGTGAGTGTAGACGGATGACTTCTGTCAGATTTCAACAGCCGTTTCTTCTTAACAGTTCTTCAGATGCTTTTCCTTTTAAATCAGTCCGACTGTCATTCACGCGGAGGGTAACGCTTACAGTCAGCCTCCTCGGTAATTACAGACAAAGAAAGGTAAATGACTTTCTGTCTTTTCCCCTCTTTGCCAAGATGCTAATCAGCCTCCTTTATCAGGTTAATGTTTTCCTGTTTGACGCGGACCAACAATCTCCGTTAACCCCGCACCAGTAGGCTGCCGGCAGTCTCTCTCGATCCCTATCTGTCTCCTCATCTGTTCGCTTATTGACAGGCGAACATCAGTCATCTATTGGGGTCTTCCTGGTGCTGCCGACCTCGCCGCATGTGTAATTAGAGGCAAGCTGGCTGTCAGTCACGGGGATATTTGATGCCTCTGCTGCAGGTCATTTGATTAAAGTCTCCACCGGTAATGGAGGACAGCAGGTAGGACTGTCAGGACAGAATACTAACGAGCAGCCCGCAGGCCTGATGCTGTTCTCTCCGACTCTACAGTGCGATCACGCAGGTCGTCTGGGTGACAAAAATAAATGGGAATAAATGAAGCAATTAACGCCGGTTGTAGTGATGCACGGTTATTGCACACATTTGAGCTGGTCAGTTTGTTTCATGTGTCTAGGTGGTTGTGCAGAACGAATGGAGCGGAGAGCGGAGCAGCTTGTTGGTGAGCGTCCGCCCGATAGGAAAGGTAAAAGAAGGCCCGTCCTTCTGCCTCCACTGAGGCTCTCTCTGCCAAAACTGCACACTTGAGAGCACGCTGAATAACAAACCAGCTTTTCATCAGGTTTCATTTGTGGCAGCCTGTGCTCCCTCCACTCTGGTGCTTTTAAATACGGGGAGCGAAAGAGTGCAGCAAGTGCACGGTTCAAAGGGAGGCGCTGAAAGTTGGGCATTTTCTCTTTCCTCTTTGGTGGGAGCCTTTTGTTTACTGCTCGGTCGCCTGCTGCGGGGATACAGCACGAAAGCTTGGCTCGGGAGACAAACATCTCAGCTATGCACTAAACAAACTCTTCTGGTTTGCTCTTCCAATTGCGTTTACATCACAAACACTTTTGGTGTGTTTGGGGTCTTTTTCTTTTTCTTCTTTTTTTGGCTGTGCAGAAATGTGAAAGGTTCCCGCAGGTGGTGACAGCTTGGGTGGGCCCATTGCTTTCCAGGACTGAGGGTGAGCTCGATGTAGCCTTGTGGTTGCTGGGGTTTTTATTTATTGCTGTTTTTTCCTGTGTTTAGGTGGCTGGATGGCCTGGTCGCTGTGGTCGGCCTGTGATGACTCAGGCCTGCAGATGAGGAGTCGTGTGTGTGGCGCTCAGGGCAACACCCCCTGTGTGGGGAACAGCACTCAGCGTAGAGACTGCAATGAAATACCCGGTGAGTTGTTCGGCTCTCAGATGCATACTGTAACCGTGAAGCGTCCTTCGACATTCTCATCAGAGTTGTTGGCCTCTCAAGAGCTCCTTGCGAGCGTCCTTCCTTTTTCTCTGATTTTTGAGGGGCAGCCTGTATTTTATTTTGTGTCCTTGAATGTCACCAAACACGCTGCTTTTCACTTATTCCATCATGGCTCTAGCTTGCCTTTGTCACAAAAACTCCATGATGCTGTTTTATGGGAAGTTGTAAGCACGCATTTTTGATGTGCAAAGCGAGGGTACACAAACAGCTAGCTGTTCTAGTGGCTCAGCCTTGTCTGTTTTTTGTTGTTTTTTCAGATTTTGTACATTTTGTGTCATTTTAATGGCAACAAAACTGACTGACAACTCAACTAATAGTTACCCCCAGGAGGCTGACAATATTTTCAGACACTCGGAGCATTTTGACATGCTCTGAAAGCGTCAGTGTGGGGGAAAAATTTACTTATTTGTATTCAGTGACAAAATATCTAAGTGGCTCATGCTTGTACTTAAAAATGAACCTGTTGTAGGAAGTCGTTTTTAAGCTGTGCTGGGATTTGTGAAACATGACTGGACCCATTGTGACAAACCCTTCTATTAAATAAGGTAATCATTTAACAGAATATCAATATTTGGTGTCCCTGTATCAATACAATGCCCACCCCACACTCAAACCTGAAAGGTCTTCTACTGCAGCTTGATCTACTGGTACCAACAGGCGTGTGAAACAACTGGTAATATGGACTACTCTTACTCATGTCTATGCAGTTATTAATGTTTTTTAGAGAAGACAAAAGTCATAATTTACAAACTGAGCCGATGGAATGGAAGTCGTGTAATTAGTTAAAGTTGATTCAATTCAATTCAATT